AAAAAAAAAAAATTATGACTTTTTCTCTTTCTCTTTGAACTCTTCCTCAGAAAGCTCTCCGTTCCTATCCCAAGAGGACTTTTGACACCAAGGGATCCATCAGACTCGCCAAGGGAAATTCAGACTAGAAAAAAGGCAACAGGAACTCTTGAAGTGACCTGCTCTTAGGCACCCGGTCTCCAAATGGAATGCACCATTTAACTTTAGGTGATTTGACTCCACCTTAAATTACTAAATCCTTTGTCCCTCAAGGATTAGACATACAAGTGTCAAGTGTCCCTCCACTAAGCAATAGCTTTCAGGCTGGAAGTTTGGGATTTCAGCACTTAAAGTGGGATCTGACTGCCAAAAAGACTTTCATTATTGCTCAACACACACAAAGCAATTACAACAGGGCATAATTTCTAGAATAAGTTATTCTCACAGAAAGATCTCTTGATTTGAGGCTGTACTTTTCACTAATACTGAGTATCAAGTAAAAGACTCAAGTCCCAAGGGAGATGATTTCATTTTGGGGATATTAACTCCTGCATTTGACTTCCTGAACTTTCTAAATAATTTTAGACGGAGAGACTTCTAAATTTTAATTAACTTCTAAAGCACAGCAAGAGGGTAAGCTGCAAGATGCCGGTCACGAAAAAACCAAAAACAACCACCTGTGCTCACAATCCTTTCTTTCCATTTTCCCACTCTTTGTTTTGGTGGCTCAAGAAAGATATCACAGTGTGCATCACAGCTAGAAGTTGAAGCCCTTTTCATAGGGAGGGCATATGTGGCTATAAAAAATTAAAATGTTAAGTTTCCATGTTGTTCTATCATAGTCTGCCTAAAGCAGGTACCATCCAGTCAGCTTCCACATCTGCTGCACTATGCCAGTCAACTTTTTGGGTTAAGTGTGGTGATATTTTCTTATATTATTCTGAACACAGATTTCTCAATTTAAGATGACTTTACAGACTGCAAATAGGCCTAACAGTCAAAATCCAGAAGGCAGCAAGACAGACCCAGTTATCTTCTGTTACTAAAAGGGAAGCTAGTGGCAGCAGCAGTTAGGCACATATCTAATGACAAAATTCTTCTTAGAGCAGATGACTTGGGCAACACAGAGTCAGTGAAGGTTACTGCTAAAAGAAAGAAAAAATATAAATTCTCAATACCTAAGGAGCACATCTGTTACTGCAGATAAAAACCACAAAAGTCAACCTAATATTCCTAAAAACATGTTATTTTGATATTTAGTGCCAGCTGTGCAAAGGGAGAAAGTACTGCACAAAACCTTACCAGAGATCATGAGATGAGAACATTCCCATTATATTTACATTAAGCTACAGGAAAATGCAATTCTTACTTGAGGATGTCTGCCATTGTCCAGCAACTTCAGACAATTAAGGAGCAAAGTTCTGATAGTGCCATAGTGTTTCTTATTCTGGTTTTTCTTCAGCATCATATTGCAAGCAACTCTAAAAGAAAGTTGAACAAAATTCCTGTATAATTTCTTCGGGTTAGAAGGAGGAAAAGAAAAAAAGAAAAAAGAAAAAAAAAAAAAGAAGAAGAAGCTTTAAGCAAGTTTGCCACCAAAAAAGCCTTCCTAAACTTTTTAAAGGGTCTACGAGCCTTGACAAATAAGAGCATAGTTTACATGGAAAAATAGTGAAAAGCAGTGAAAAGTGAATCGCTGATTCCATGAGATTGAAGTTCACCAGCCTTCTGCATAATTATGAAATGAAAATACATTCTTCTAATTTTGCACTTGCAAATTTGTAACTGCCAATTCTGGACTTGCAAAATTTGCAACTGCACCCAAGAAATAAGTGTTATGGCAAAAGTGATAAAAACTCACTTGTACAGAAGAATTGCCACGGGCATGGTAAAAGGGTTTTGGTCCAATAAGTATGTCCTTCTTTGGTACAATTGGATTTCAGAAAAGATAAGATATTTTGAGCAATATCCTTTATCACTTTGGTAGAGAAATTTGAGTTTTCCAAATTGGGAATATCTTCAGTCTTGATCATTTCATATTTCTGTGGGGTACATATTTTAAAACCCAAGTTTAGAAATTTTTCTTTTTTGTTTTGTCTTTCCCACTTCCCAACTTCCCCACTTTCATCAGACAAGCAGCTTCTGTCACACAGGAGAAAGAGCCTACTATTATAACACAACTTCATCAGAACAGATGAGGTTAATTTCTATGGTTTAATTATTTTGAAAGTGGTGCGTCTTAATTACATCACTGGAAAGTTTTAAAAGGGACTCACTGGGATAACAGCTTAAGATAAAGTAAATGGTAGGAGGGGTAAAAAACAAACAAACAAGGACACACGCACACACCAAAACTAAACCAAAGAAACAAACAAATAAACAAACAAACAAAAAAAAACAGCACACAAACCACCACCTCTGTCTTGGCAAGTAAATACTACAGATCTTAAAGTTCAGGAAATATTTCTACTGGTACATATATATTTTTTTTAATGTTGTCTCAACTACATATCCCCATCAGTAGAAGCGGGTATTGGAAAGGGAGAGAGAGAGATCCCAGTATTTTTGGAAGACTGGTGCGAGTTGTGGATCTGCTTCACATTCTACAATAAAGAATTCTTGTAATCTTTCAGTCAGAACAGGCAAGGTTAGAAGGAGATCTGTTAAAACTGGAGAGATTTCAGAAACTAAAGAATGGGTAAAGTAGGTGTAATGCAAAGAGGCAGGCTCACCTGAACAATTCCATTAACGTGAAAGCACATCACAAGCTCTGGGACATTGCAGATTAAGTTATCTAGCCAATAGTCAATTCCTGTTAACACGTTTATTGGTTTGTTGTTATCCCTAAAAGCAAATGTTTTTAGTGTTATTTAAAGTCTTCAATTACTCTTCAGAAAAAATTAGAAATGTTTACTCCTGAGATTAGATTAAGGCACCTGAGTGCCTTTATACATATATATATATACACACACACACATATATACATACACACACACTCAGATGGATTCCAAAACAATAATTTTTGTTATGCTTTAAAGAGGCAAACCAAGGAGCTATATCAAACAGATGTACTGATATCTCCGGCTACAATGAAATACACTCCCATTCCCTCAGCAAACTAGAATTTTTGCCCTCATTTAACTGAACTTTTGCCCTCATTTAAGAGAAACTCTAACAGCTTCTTCTCATGGTACTACCAAGATAACAAGCACTTAGGAAGTTGAAGGAATGGTAGACTTAGCTGCAGCTAAGGGCAGCACAAGGCTGCTTGTACACCCTCCAAAACTCCTTACAAAGCAGGGTGCTATTAATTACCACATGTGTCTTAAAAGATGACATAATTACACCAATTACACAAGCTCCAATTATCTGTTCATTCTTTGCCTACACACAGGCAGAGACAGACGGACCAGTAACCAAGGAATCAACACAAAATATTAGAGAACAGTAAGACAGGCAGAAGGTAGAACTATTAAGAGTCACAGAGTGTAAGTATTTGTGAAGTGCCCAGCTAGCAGCTACTGATATTCAGAAGACCAGTAAGAAATACTGTTTCCTTCCTTTATAAAAATAGTAGTAAGGTACAGGGTAATTAGAAAACCTGTTTATCCGATCCTTAACCCTAAAAACTTCCATTAAAGTCAGCCAGGATTGTTAACTAGTACTTCAAACCAGGAACTAATCACGGAGCCAGAAGCAGCAGCAAAGCTCTCAAGTTGCCGAGGAGTCACAAGGCCCTGGGATTGTTTCTGATTTTCACTACTTTATAATGCTGTTGCCATTTAATTTTAGAGAATTATTATTTTTTTCTCTTTAAAATGCACATAAAAAGTAAGAGTCAAGAAAAAAATGGAGCTAGCTAAATACAAAAGCGAGGCAACAAGTCAGGCAAGAGCAGCACAGACATATATAACCCAGTAACTTCAAAATTCACCTGAGACGCAGGCTCACAGCAGGGTATCTCCCACCTCCAAATATAGGCATATTTGATCCTACTAACATGTGGATATCTTCAAAGGTCCACAAGATGTTACGAACAAAGTCATTTTTAAGTCCCTTCATCAAGAGAAAAAAATTGGTCTATAATAATGATTTATCATTATTGTAAAAACAAGTTTTTGGTGACAATCCATAGTTATGAGAAAGCAAGATGCAAAAGTAGCAAATTAAAGACAGCACATAATGAACTATGCTATGCAATCACATTAACTTAAAAGATTGAGATAACATGCCAAAAGCTACCTCTACAAGGGACTGAGTTTTTCTCTTGACTCCAATTAATACTGAATTGTAACATATTGGATTGGGGGTTATGTGTTTGAGCTCAGACTTCACGTGTAGCATACCTGACTGTTTTCCCCGTCATTGAACAAAGTAGTCAGGTTTTGTTCTTTGGGGGCTGAGGCCACATGCCCCACTATATATGAGGGTTCAAGAGGCACACTTCCCTGTGAAAAGCACATGGATAAGGAGTGATTCTGCTGCTGAGGTAAAGCTAGGCCATTAAAAAAATATATATATGTACAGAAAATATTATTCTGAAAAAACAGAAACAAAAAACACCATATAAAGCTGAAACCTTCATCTCTACTATCCTTAAATGAATTTATAAAATGATTAAAAGCCTCTAGTCAGCAATTAGGATGCGTCTTTTTGTGATTAGAATATAAATCTTGTACTTTATATCCTCTTAAGCTTTGGAAAGAAATATGAAGCTTTTTAGAGAAACCATTTATTATCTGAAAATCAGCACCATTTATTAGCCCAGACAGAGCACCAGATTATCCATCTCCCATAAACCCTCTCTTATGAAGTCTTGTTTATTTATAAAAGTTACCCTATATAAATGCACGATACATTATGATAAAGTGTCTGCCTAACTTCGCAATACTTCACCATTTGCCACAGAAACCGTTTTTTTTCCTAAAAACTTTCAAGTACTAGAGCACAACTATTTCTCCACTTCAGAATACTACTATACCACAAAGCTACAATGTTATGGCTGATGCAAATTAGACTCTTCATAAATCAACTACCCAAGAAATCTGGTACTACCGTCTAACTAAGCATGATGCTAGATTATCGTTATCATCTTAACATAGAAAGAAAATAACCTGTTTTTCAATCTCTCAAAGATTTAAATGATTCCTGTATTACATGATCTTAGCCACAGACTAAAATCCTGGGTTATAGTCTAATACTATCATAATTTGTTGCATAATTACAGTAACATCTCTCGTTTCCACTTGTGCAATCTCAAGGCAAGTATCTGTACATGTTACCCAACTGTTTTGCATCAAACATTTTAATAGATCCTTAGTTCTATTTTCACCTAATTTCAATAACATATTTAAAAAGCAAAGCTTAAAGTCTTAAGTGTCTTTTCACACCATTCGAATGAACACTAAATTGTCCTGTTCTTTCAGGTGAAGTCATTGATTTGTCTCTGAAACACTGACCTGAGCTAAAATAAACATACCACCAAGCTGTACTTTTTCCCACCCCAAGCATGGAGGACTCCTTCAATAGCACCTCTGCAAATCTTTCACTACTTATGTTCTCTACACAAAAGTAAGGTCTCCTTTAAAAATTAAAGGAACTAACCTGATTTGAGGCACCTGGATCTTCAGATATTGAAGAAGGCATTTCGAAGGGAGCTGGCCAGGAGGCCTGTCCTGCTTCATCACTGTCACCTGAAACAGGACTATCTTGGTGCTGTTCTGAAGCGGAAGGAACAGGCTGAGCAGCTCCATCACCATTAATACTGATAAAACAACATCGTAAGTTCAGTCAACAATATATACAATCACAACATGCTTCAGAATTATTTAATGCACTTTATTCACAAAGAACAGCTTGGCTAACACTTTAAAAGACTGGTATATTGACAAGCTGTCCAATGTTCAAGGTCTTAGATAATGGCATCTGTCATATTACTGAATCATGAATGTTTTCAGATATCTGAGGAATCTTCCCTCAGATCCAGTTCTGGAGAGAAATACTGAGATTGAAATCTCAATACTGAATATTGAAATATTTAAGTCATGCTGTTTACTTAATACTTTAATTTCTATTAAAACATTGATAAACTAGTTATTTCCCAATCAACACCCTGTATCTCCTCTGTAAAAGGGTAAAGCAGTAAGACAGACAGACCACAACACAATTCTAACATTTCACCTCTAAACAAAGAGTGAGGAAGAAGTAGTGCAGCACAGAATTCATGACTGATAAAAACATGAAGTTACCTGTAATACAAAAATTTGGAAAGTATAGCCTTCTGGTACCAGTGCTCTTTACTCTTCTTTTTTCGTTGCCACTTCTGATCAATCAGCCTTTGATAAAACTCTTTTAGCCACGTCCAGTCTCCTGTCTAGGCAATAGCACGATCATGAAATTAATGTGAAGAAACAATGACAAAGTAAACGAAGTATCTAATTTAACTTATGAATACTCATTCCCAAAGAATGGCAGAAAAAAAGTTTTAGGAAGTTTAGTGACAAAGTTATTTTAGAATGAAATCAACTTTTACGTGAGAAAGTCAGATACATGGTAAGAGATTAATACCACAGATTTTATTAATACTAAAATTTATGAAATAGTACAACAATATATAAGCAATTATAGGAAAGTGAGACATGGAATTTTAATCCTACATTATTGTAAGTAGAAGAACATCAAATTCTCTATTGCAGCTCGTGGATAAACAGATTGCTGCAGAATGACAACATTTGCTTCACGCAGACCTCCTGTACTTGTGGCAAACAAGCGTATATGTATCCAAAAGAGATCTGTACATCATTCTTGAAATATTGCATTGTGACCGTAGGGCATAAGTAGCGAAAACAATTGGTTAACCTGAGACGATCTCATGAAGAGTTCTTGAATATCTAGCTCATCCAGCAGGAGGGTCCGCCCAATGCGATGTACTGCCATGCTCACATGTGACTTGCTATAGGGTATCTTGAGCAGTTTTTTAATATTCTTATAGGAGAAAAGAAAACAGAGATTATATTCCATTTAACCACACTGCATTGTAAGATGCAGTTCTTTAGAAACTTCAAGTCAAGAACATGGCACTAACATTGGAGAGACACAGGCAACCAAATAAAACCTTAAAGAGCCAGACCTTTTGAGAAGGCCATTCCAACTTCTGGGATGGGGGGTTCATACATGCAATCAACTCCCTAAGCACACCTGCAAAAAGCTGTTGGTTCAGATACTATTTCTTCATGTCAATCAGTGACAAAAGCCATTTCTGTCAAACGGGAAGTGACACTATTTTCCAGCACAGCTGTCACCAAATAACTGACTTTACGAACACACAAGGCTGATCTACATTATATATTGATGCATCATATTGACTTACCTGCATATTTTAGCAAAACATTATTTGTAAAACTGCATTGGAAATAAGATTTTTATCTATGTTTTTTATTCCATGATCACAAATCCCTTGCACAACAGAGCAGAAATTAGATAATTTGTTTGCAATTCATTAGGGAACATTTTCTTTTAGTCAAAGGACACAAAGATCATTCTTCGACAGTGTCTTAAGATAAGATTTATACATCATAAACGTTTGAATCATGAAACTCAAAGCCATACATACCTCTGAATCAGACACAACATCCACATCATTCCCAACTGAGTCAATGAAGTCATATGCCATTCCAAAGCTGTTTAGAAAATATTACAAATTAAAACAAATGCAGTGTGACATGAAAGACACAGCTACTTGCTTCCAGAAGCTCAGCATGCTTTGGAGAACATTTCCCTCATTGAAAAAACAGAACCAAGCCAAACACTCTTAATCATCATAAGATCTAATTAAAATCATTTTGAAGTTCCATCAGTTTTCCACTGATATCATGGGAAATACTTAGATCCAAGTTCAAGACTTTTGGAAAAAAAGAACAGTTTAGAAATAAATAAAACTGTCATAACACACACAATAAAAGAGCTGGGTTCTATGAAATACCTTCCTCCCCAGTAAACAAAAACAAAACAAAAAACAAACAAAAGAACATTTTTTCAAAAAGTTTCTCTCTTTAAAGAATTAACCATGTTTTATTTTTTAATTTTAGCTGCTGTCATTATTTTGCTTCTGTATAAAAATGATTTTTCTTCTGTTTTCAAAACATAAAACTGGCTCAATTCCTTTAACAAGCACCTCCTTATATCTTAATCAGCCCTTGCTAAGGCCTCTCTAAATTACAAGCTATTTAAATCGTAGTGTTTCCAAATGTAGATCATTCTTTTGAATTAAACCACACATTGACATAACAATCAAATATATGTCATATAAAGTCTGAATTCATAGTTCTACTATTAATTTTTAATATTGCAAGTAGGGACAGAGAGTACAATCTGACAACCTTTATTTGACAAGCAAAAGTAATACTTAAAAATTAATAAAGTCTGGGGAGAAACATGTCAGTCCACTCAAAAAGAAACATATGTCACCTAATACCAATTATGAAGACATAAACAGAGACCTCCTGTACCCTGCTAAATTTCACTAAGCAGTGGAGCATGTTTTTTGCCAGCTCAGCACAGGAGCTAAATCTCCTATTTAGAAGCTCTCTGTATTCACTTCATAGAACTAACAAACATCCACATAGAAAGATATTACTGCTTTTTATTTTTGCCACTTGCTTTAACTGCTATGCATATTCTTGACAGGGCTATGAAGCTTATTTTCCCATCAGACAGACAGTTCTGATTCCTAACAATTAAAATTAGCCAAGGTGGCTGCTCAACTGCCAGGGAAGACCTGTATTTGCTCCAATCTCCTATAGCATCAAAAACCAAATGACAAGAGCCAATCACAGACCAACGTGGCATTAGCTTGACCGTCCCAGGCAAGATGCCAACATGCATTTGACAAACAAACACCACCAACAACCTTAATTATCTGTAAGTGAGATAAGACTATAGTATACAAGCACGAACCAAGGAAGAATAAAAGCAGGGAGTATGGTAAAGAAAATATAATGCGTACTTGCTGGAGAATACTTTGAAATACATGGGGTCACTGTTAAACTTAGTCTTAAATGACTGGGGGAAAAGAAGGAAATGATGCATTTACCTTGAAAAGGGTTTACTTTTCTTGTTGTTGCCAAGAATGGTTGTCCCGGCTGGTCCCAGCTTGGCACTTTCCCGTAACCAGTTTGCGGGTGGAAGTTTCAGGTCTGTCTTCTCCTGCAGGCGGGCGAAGGCGGCCTGCGGGGGCGCAGAGGAGTATTTCACCACGGCGCTGCTCTTTACTTCGTTGCCTCCGAGAAACAAGAGCGAGCCCTGGTTTTGAAGGGAAAGAAAGAAGTATTTGCTTTATAAAAATACAAGCTAAAGGCGCCAGACTTTGTTTTGTACCTATTCAGTCCGAGAAAGACGTGCCGTTTTTGAGAGGGAAGCAAATGCCCAGAGTTCTGCATTTACTTTCAACTCTGCTCATCCGCTTTCAGCCTCCCGAAGTTGGACGTGTTCGTGCAGATACCGAGTGCCATTAACTCCCATTACATCACGCCCAGGCTCAACGCGAGGGGCGACAGCACTGAACAAAGGTGGTTTAAGGCCCACAGAGCCCCTCACAGACTGTGAATTAGCGCCCGGGCCTGAAAACAAGTATGTGGGGAAGTGTTTACCCATGCTAAGAATAATGGCACTTCTTCCTGAGGGAAGAACCTCAGCCCACGGGCACCCGCGTGCTGCAGAGCTGCCTGCGCACTCCGAACTGAGGTGGATTAAGAGGAAACGGCTCCACAGGACAGCACTTAGCAGCCACGCCGCTGCTCGCCGTTTAAGCCGCTCAACAATAAAATAAAAGCACGATTTGCAATTAGGGCTCCGCCGTAATTAGTAGGTGCCCTGCCGTGCCGTGCCTCGCTCGCAGCCCCGGGCGAACATCGCTGCGGGCGGCGCTTCCTCCGCGGCCGCCCCGCGCTGAGGGGCGGCCTGGTCT